GCTGAGCTCACACAACGACATTTGTACACGTACACTCGATTAGATAGGAGGACAACATAGTTTAAGTCGTAGTCGCAATCCTTAAGCGCAGGACATGCACCTCATTTTGGGCTACGATACTCCGTTCCGCCCACACACACACACACACACACCCACAAACACACGCGCAAACAATGAAACGAAATTTTTGCGCTCTAGCATCCTTAAGGCAAAATGTAATTTCCTGTGACAAAATACAAAGCTAATCCCCACACACATATACACAGCGTTGCAGCTTGAGCCAAAGTTGGCTAAAGGATTTCTGTGTGTGGCACTGTGGCTCAAAGTGGAAGGGTGACAGAGGAGGAAAAGCGAAGGGGTGACTGAGAGTTGGTCTTGGTCGCCGCTGACTTCGATACGTGCAGTGAACGACGAGAACTGGACTGACTGAGTCCGTTGTCTTAGTAGGCAGCTTCAGCGCAGGTTCAGGTCAAGGCTTTGCGTCTCCGATAGCTCCTTGGCATTTGGCATTTGATGGGCGACCCGGAAAGCGTAGCGAGCCTTATTGCAGGTGCTGCATGGGCTGGAGTAGCTGTTAAGCCAGGACATAGAGGAAACGCTGTGAGACAACAAAAGCGCTACAATAAATAGCCAAGGAATTTCAAACTGGCAAAAAATAAATCGAAAGTTGAACTTTTGTTGTTGCTGGCAAACAGCATCAGCATCAGAATCAGCAGCGGCAGCAGCTGGCAGGACATTTGTTCTGGGTCTGATTGCCATCGCATGTGATATGTATTCGGTCAGGGGCTTTCGTTTGATTTCTCAAGTGTAAACTGCGCCCCGACGAAGACTTTCTGCCCTGTCACACAAATATCAATATGAAATCGGGCAAGGATCTGCCCAATATCCAAGCTCAACCACCCAAAAACCTAAACCTCCCATGCTGCCAGGTCACAAATAACCGCAACAGCTGCCACATGCGCCAAACTACTAAAATAGCAACGACATTAATTGAATGGAGCACGCACTAGGCACTGGCAAGGGGCAGCAGCGGAGGTTTCAGGGCGTGCCGCACGCAGCGGCTGCAAATTTTCATTATGCTCAATTTTAAGCCAAATTGAAGAGCCGTCACTGCGATTTAAGCAGGTGGAAGCAACATCAAGCTGAATTCAATAGCCGATTGCCTGCTCACCCCCACTTGTTGTGGAGCTCCAGTTGCCAGTTTAACAGCCATGCAGGCCAACGCACAGTGGTTAGAAATTCAATTTAATCATCCAATCCATTTTAAGCATTTGCATTGCACACACAAAAATTTTGTTGGGTTTTCTGCGCAATTAAATGTAGTTTTTGTTTTGTTTGTGGTTTCAGTTTAGTTTCGACATTTTGGACTGTATTTTGCAGAGTGTTTTTAATTTGTTTGAGTAACATTCGAAAAGCCAAACAACAAATAAATTTCTTGTAATCCAGGATATGCGAAAAGTTCATAAATGGTATTTTAAATCTATTAGAAATAAGTTCGGATAGGGGTTTTCAAAGGGCGCAATAATTTTAAATACCAATTTGAAACTAAGAAATTCATATTTGATATTGTTCCAGGAATAATATAAGAGCATTATTCTTATTTAAAAGTTGAAAATAAGTTGTTTGTTTTGAGTTTGATTCAAAAATTATATAAAATTCAATTAAATATAAAAATACTGAATGAAACAAGGTTCGCGTTGCACAGTGTAAGTTTGTCGAGAGGCATTCAAATTCGGACACCAGTGCTCCATACGCAGATTGACTGCAAATGAAACTGCAGCACTGTTTCTTGGCTTAGTCGGAGAAAAGAGACAGAGTGAGAGATTTTGAGAGAGACAGGGAGAGAGAGAGAGAGAGAGAAACAGAGAGAGAGGCTGTCTGTTGGTCATTTCTACACTATTGATACGCATGCATACATTGGCTTTGTGGCCCGAGTTCAATACGTTCCACTCCGAGCGAGTATTACGCATAACTTTGTGTGGCAATAAGCGTGTAGCATGCCACACAGCCCCTCTGCCCACCCGAAAAATGTCAGAGCGCTGTGTCTGTGCTTGCCTTTTCCTTCTCTACCGCTTTGCAGCTGCCTCGACGTCTGTCTATCTGTTGCAGTTTGTTATGCCAACTGCGTAGTAACATGACCGGCATCTGTATGTCAGTCAGGGACAACAAGTTGGGCCACGTCCACATTCACGTCCAAGTCCACGTCCATGTCCATGTCCACGTTGCACGCTGGTCAAAGCGAAGGCTGCGTTTTGTTTGCCTGTCACAACTTGTGGGTTGCCCTTGTTGGGCCTGTTGTTCTTGCTGTTGCTGATGCCATTAACGCGTGAATTGTAGTGGCTGTCAGCAATCGCAGCCACATTGTTGCCCAAAAACCCATACATACCCACACGCACACAGATAGGCATACACCCACCCGCCCTCCTGGAGGGGACTTATAAGGGTTAGCCTGATTTTGCTGTTGTTAGTCATCGACTTAGCCATGAAATGCCATTGGTTGTGGTGTCAATCAGCAGCACAGCAACAACAATAGACACCATCGCACGTTTGGCGCACAAAATACAAAATTTGCATATTTGAATAGAATACTTTTTATATATGTAAAGTCTGAGCAGTGAATATATTATATGTCCTCGTATTAATATAATAATAAAATGGAAGTCCTTAAACTGAATTTATTATGAAGTAGAAGTCGCTGGAGTTGTTTTAAAATGTTTTAAAATTTCCACAAACTAAACTGTTGTGCCCACAATTGATCTGTTTTTGGGCAGAACACAACATAATTTCAAGCTAACGCAACCACAGAAAAATATTCGGAAACATTTAAATTTCAAATTGCCTTTCAGTAGAGTAAATACTCATTTACAATATTATTTTCATGAAGCTTACATTCTGCTTTGATCAATTTAATTATATTCTCAAAATGATCGGTGTTGTCTATTTTGGAATTATTTTGTCGTGTCCTCAAAGCAGAAATATAAACTATATTTAGTATAAGAACAAAAGTCCATTATACAGGCTGGGAAGAGTATAAACGTTTCATTGTATTGTAAAACGTTAGACGGTAAAACGGTTTTTGTTTTTGTTTTTTTTTTTTTTTTGTGGTATTTGGATTGTGAGCGTGTGGCCTGTGGGTCGTTTGCATTGCCAGCCACTTCATTATTTTGTTGCCGCCCATCTGTACCTGCATGTGTGTGTGTGAGTGTGTGCGAGTGTGTGTTGGTATAAGTGTGACACTACGTATTTCTATGCATTCATGCATAATGGCTGGCAAACGTTTACAAAAGCTGCAGCATGGATTTCCGCACGCTGCCATTTGCGGTCCATTTGCGGCCTGCGGGAAACCGGCCCGTGGGCGAGGGCGAGGGCCGGGCTAGGGGGGACTTTGGTCGCCCTGGCGCCGTTAGCATGATTGAAAAACGTGCCAGCCGGATAGACGGTGCATGGGCGGCATGGCTCTAACCTCAGGCCCAATCCATAGCCAGCTGTGGACCGGCTTAAATTGCATGCCATTCTGTGTGCTGTCAGTGGCATTGTATTGTTGTGTGGTTGCACTTCATGTTGTTGTTGTTTTCCTTTCACAATTACGTAATTTATTTTAACTGTGTCAAATCCACGCCAATCGACAGCGATTATGCTGGCAAATTGCAACAATTCCTTGCCAGTCGTCCCAGGTCCCGATTGCAATTTGTTAACGTCGCTCGCATCCGTATAAGTCCTTGCCCCAATGGTCAACCCGGCTGCAGAGCCAAGCTGCCACTCACTTGCCCGCCTAGTGGCTGGTGCCTGGTGGCTAGTCGAGGTCGCCATCGTCGTCGTCGTCGCTCGTTTGGCTGCAATTAACCGCAGTGTGCTAATTAATTTGCTCATAATTGATGCGATTATGTGTTTCATTTGTGAAGCAACAACTGGCGCCTGGGGCAACATCAGGCGACGACCCCAAAACATTCGGGCCATATTCCTTGCCGTTACTGCTCTACATTAATGTGCTGCAGTTCTTTTTGGAAAGTCCTGGAGGAAATCGGGCGCATTGAACAGGCATCTTCCACTATTTATATATATTTCCGACGAATTACTCAACTTATCGCCACAAGACGCCGGAACTGTGCCAAATTGAAGGCGGATGTAGCGTTTTGTGGCAGTTATGCTCAGGTTTAACATTCGCATCCGCAACGGCATCCACATTCGCCTGCCCAAGCCAATGAGCGTCGTTTGCCTCAAGCTGATTTGTCACTATTGTCTTTGCTATTTCAATTGCCACTTGCCGCCTGCCGCTTGCTGCTTGCCAATTGCCCGAGGCAACGTCAATCATATGCCAAGAGCATGCAACACCGTCGCACCATTTGACTTCATAAAATGACCTACCGGTGCGGCCGCCGCTGGGCTGTCATGGATATATTCGAAATTGCTGGCCCGGGGCCTGAAAACCTAGTCGCCATGGACCCCTACACCCAGCATTGGAAATCGCATACAAATTTGCTAAAATGCCAAAAACATCACCGACAGAGGCATGCAACATGACTACTGCAGCCTCGGTTGCCACTTTGGCAGTTAATGTAACGCTTCTGCGCAATTATCGTTATGTGCTAAATTAATACCCTGTAATTACATAAATGCTGCTAGTGCGTTGAATCTAGACCTGATTAAGAGAACTAACCAACTGAATAATTTTATAAATGGTTTAAGAAGCTAAGTACTCATTAATACTTATTTTACGAAAATGTTCCCATCTTTTGTGTATATATGCATATTTACCGTGTTATATATACAAACCAATAACCGTTTCTTGATTTTACAGGGTATTTATAGTCGAGCACAGTATAGCTGTTCAAGCTGTTGTTGTACTGCCACGGGCGGCGCCTAGAAGCATGCAACACTTTTTGCACATCGCACAGACAGAAGCTGCACGTACATACATTAGTGTGTAAATGTGTGTGCGTGTTAGTGTGTATATGTGTGCGTGTGTATGTATTGCTGTAGTAGTGTTGGTAGGTACTTACCATTTAGAACATGCACACGCACACTGGCAACATCTGCGTTCGAGGGGGCGCACGAGTATTTGCCGGAATCGGCCAGATCTGCATTCTGTATGAGCAGAAATGAGGTTGTCACATCGCCCTTTTCGGTAATTACCGACACGCCGCCTCTTGATGAATCATAATTAATGACCTGCAAATGGAAGAGCATTACGCCAAAAGGCCGGGTTAGTAAGTGTGTGTGAGTGTGTAGGCAGAGCAGAGGAAGCCCCCTCACAACAGCAGCACATAATGTGAGAACAATGAGGGGAGCAGTAAATGTTTTTCTTTGATTTTACTTTCTTTTTGTTTTTGCTGTCTGTTTAAGAACTTTGCTGCTGGCAAATAATAATAAGCAAGTGCCCTACGCTTGTTTTATTTATTCTGTTTCGAATGTGTTGCTTAACGCTGATGCTCAAATATCGTATTATTTTTTTGTAATTTTTAAATGCGTGTGACAGCACTGTGGGATGGGGTGGAGGCTGACGGCAGTCTGTGATGCGTAGCAACAGCTGCGCTTGACTGACATTACAAATCAGCGACATGTCAGCGCGTCTTGTTTACTTTTCAGTAATGTGCTCTCCCTCCCCCGCCAGGCGTCAGCCATACAGCCGAAAATGCGTTTAAAATTGCCATTTTAATTGGAATTTGATGGCCGGGCGCATGATTAAAGTTGACTTAACAGAGCTAATATCAAAGGATCTTTAGTTCGCAGCGCAGGGATAAGATGACCGAGAGAGAGAGAGAGAGAGAGAGAGAGAGAGAGAGTAATAGTTAGCTACAAAAATTATGTTAATCAAGCGGGCGGGGACCAGCTTCGGGTTCACATTGGGCCAAAAGCAACTGGCTCGAACGATGGCTCATTATGATGATGCTGATGGCGCTGACGACAATCTGTGCGATAGTCAGCCGCCCTCAAAGTCAACTTCATTATCGATTATTGTAGGGGGCAGCAGCAGGGCAAATGTCAAATGTCGAATGCTGCTAACAGCGGCCAAAACCAGATGCATATTGAGTCACAAAATGAAGCGAATGCTCAAAGCGCTGACAAAAACAAATACCAGGAATAATTTGCCAATACCAATACACAGAGAACGCAGGGAGCAGGAAGAGTGCGAGAGAGCGAGAGAGTGAATTGAAGAGTAAAGGACTAAGGGCAGAGCGCAGAGAGCAAGTAGCTGACATTAGCACATCATGCCGTTGACAGCGACAAGAAAATGGAAGAAACAACAGAACAGGCGGAAATGAGCAGCTGTATTGCCCCCCCTTTTAGAGGTCAAAACAGGGCAGGCAGGGCAGGACGCATAATTTGCTCTCTAATCTCAACTAATCGACGGCATTTGCAATAATATGAAAAATGAAAGAAAAGTTGGCGTCACTGATACTGATGACGATAGGGAAACGCACATGCAGCCGAGGCTATAGCTATTGCCCTGGTCATGGCATATAGCATACAGTTGGAGGTATGAAAATGTGGATAGACATATAAAAAACAATGACAATGCCCGAAACTTTGGCATAACAACTTTGGCGCACAGGCAAGTTAAAAGTTTGCCTATCAACAGCGACTGGCGAGGTGAGTGGCGGAAATAGGGTGTGCAGAAACTAACGAAAGTCTGGTTGCCATTATAGTCCATTGCTGTCGTCGCTATCAGCATAAATTTCGTATTTGTATTATAATGTTTGTAGTTGCCTTTGTTCCACCCATTGTAGTTGCCGTTTTTGTTGCTTGCAAATTGGTTAATGAAAGCGACGGCTTACTTTGACAGGCAGACAACCCGACAGCCAGCTTACAGACTGGCAGACTGGCAGACTGGTAAATGCCGAATGGCAAGCTGACAGCCAGTGAATCTGCCTTTGCTGGCTACGTGAATTGGAAAAAAAAAAACGTTTTGCGACAGAGCTGCATCAAATATGTACAACTTTTACTACCCATAGACGAGTGCAGCTGTTTCGGACACAAAAATGAAATCAAAAATCTTTTTGCCAAGCGCCACATGCTAAAAATGCGCATACATTCGATTTATGTGGCACTTGCCAACACAATAAACGAGCAAAAAAAAAAAACCAAAGCAGTTAAATGTGCATAAAAGTCTGTCACACTGTCTGATCGGTGGAAGGGCGCAGAACAACAGGATGATACGAATGCAGCACGAGCGCTCCACTCGTCGACGATACAGTTGCCAGTTGCCAGTTGCCAGTTGTGGGCATGAACTTTGGGTAAAAGCCTGCTTTGACAGCCAGCTAATAGCTGGCTAAGTCCACTCAACAGCTCACGGAACTTTCACCGACCGCACAGTTAAGCGCTATATGCACATAACTATGCCAACAACTGCGAGGGCTGCCCAAGAAAAGGTAGTGGTATTTATACCAAAGTTGGGAATCAAATCTGGGCTTAGTTAAACTATTAGCGGCTAATCGTTTTGGGTGCTCTTAAATAACTTAAGGCAGGGCACAATTTACGGCAACTTCATGAGCAAACCGAGCGTCAGACCGACATATGCCAGAAGCCAATGCGGAAATGGGCGCAAAGAGTGGGAAGGCCGGGTCAGGCGAGCTAACACTGAGAGAGGAAATATGTAACACGTTAATTACAATTAGCAAGCGGATGTGCGCGAGCAAAAAAGTGTTGCATACATTTAAGCGCCTGGCACGAGCAAGTGCATCAACTAAGTTTATCCATCCATTAAACTAATTAACAGCAAATTTGCATGGATCGTAAATAATCCATGTGCAGCATGGGCAAGGACGCCAACTTGGGCTAAGGTTGCGGCAGAGCGCACACACACACACTGGAAAGGCCACCTGCCAGAGGCACACAATTGTGGCGCGTGGCGCTGCAAGGATTTTAATTAGAAAATTCCAGAAATACAAGTGCCAGCTAAAAGTGAGCAGCAGCAGCGCCGAGAGCGGCAGCGGCAGCGACTGCAACAGCAGTTGGCGGCAGGATTTGTGCACTTTTAACACGTTGCCAGCAAATTCGCCTTCTCCTCGCCTTTCGCCCAAGTTCCATTTTTTTTTTTACTACATTTTTTCGTTTGCTGTTTTGTTTGGCATTTGCATTGCAATTAGCTGGGCACTATAACGACCACGTCTAGTACTCTTGCTCTCTCTCTCCGTTTTCTCTCCTTCTCAGTTGCTCTCCCTGGCTTTATTCCTGGAGCGCTTTAAGCGCTTTTAATGCCGCGCAATTAGCCAGGCTGTTTATGCTGCGTAAATCGCTTGAAACTAACACAACTAATTGACGGGCAACAGCGCGCGGGCCAAGCACGTACCGGGATAATGCAACCACCTGGATGACCAACCAGCCTGTTGTTTCCATGTTCAGCTGATTTTCATGTTTCCCTGTTGCTTATCAGCAGCTGTAAAAGGTATTAACAGGGCCAGTAAGAGTGCGTGCCACTAAAGCGCCATTGACCCACTTTCTTGCCACATGCAACTGCGTTGATTTACTCATTAAAATATCAACGGCTGACATTTTAAATTACGTCCGTAAGCTGCACACGAGATGAGTCGAGTGCTTCCTTGAATTAAGGATCCTTTCAGCACGGACTGAGTGCTGAGGCGTTGGTCAATCGGTGTCAGTTGGCAATTGAAGCAACGGATCGCTATCAGAACAGTTGACAGCAACAGGCATTTAAAGCGATAAACTCATCGATAAACATTAAAGAGAATTTTCAAAAAAATGTTCGACATGTTATCGAAATATATCGATTGACATTGTAATTATAAAATAAAAAAGAAATACTATTAATGAGCGTAATTTATGACTTTGCTTTTCCTTGATTAAATGTCTGCGTGTTCAAATTAAAGTGAAACGAATAAAATTAGTTTAACAACTTGCAGTAATGTCGACTGTCAAAATAGTCACCACAAAAAGATTAAAAATAACTCTGAAATTTCGGTACAATTGCAACAATAAAGTTTAATTACCTCCTCGTGATGGTACCAGAAGATGTAGGCCGGCGGCTCGGGACTGAACTTTACAGTGCAAGTGAGATTTATGGTGCTGCCTTTATCAACGTGAAGGTCAGGTCCGCCAAGTATGGTCGCCGTTGGCACTGTCAACAGGAAGCACCAATGAAAAACGCAGACGAGTAACCGAAAAAAAAACGAGAAGAAGAAGAAAATGGAGGGGTCATAAGAAGAAGAAATGCTTGAAAAACGTTGTTAAAATGAGGCAGACACAGGCTGGCCGCCTAGGTAGGAGGCTCGGAGGCTGAAAGCCTGGCTGACACTGCAGAATAATAAACTACAAGATAAAATGAAATTATTGTCGTATAAAAACCAAGTCCTCGACGTTCCATCGTTCCCTCCAGTCGACCAGTTGTCCTCGCTCCTCGCTCCCGCCTTCGTCCTTGTCCCAGTCCTCGTCGCTGTGCGTGTTGCTCACTCGTTTGCTGTATGTAATTTATTTGCTCAAGAACTTTTTTGCTTGCCTTGGTGGCGCGAGTGTCCTTTGGCTTTGTTATTTGCGACAAATGGTTGATTTTTTTTTATGAAGCCAAAGCTAAAGCCAGAGCCAGAGCCGCTGCTCCCAATTCAAGCCCAAACTCGTAGTGGGAGCGTACAGTACTCACATACTTAGACTCGTATACTCACCGACAACATTCAGACGTACAAAATAACTGCGAACGGGCTGCGTTGATATCTGGCACTCGTACATGCCCGCATCTCGCTTCTGGGCCCACTTTATCTGCAGCGTCCAGTCGTCGGTGTCCTGATGATGTGTGGCCTGAAACCTCTGATCGGACGTGTACGTATAGGAGCCCACTGTCAATATGTGTATGTCCCGATGCCGTATCCAGGAGACCTGCGCACAAAAAAGGAAAAGCAAACAGGGATATTGCACAACATGTCAATCAAATGAAGCTATGCGGTGTCATAGAGCATGAAGTATTCGATGGGAATATGCTCAGGTAGTGCGAAGGAGAGAGAAAAGTGTGACCAAAGGCTTGTAAACTATGCAGACGGAAAATACGATTATCCGACATTTCGTATGTTATGTTTTCAAGAGGTCCTCAACATGTTCTTAGATTGATTACCAAACGACCAAAGGTCTAGCTCTAGATTTTTCATTTTTTTGTTCTTGTGTCTAAAGAATCAACATACCCTCTTTTTGCTCTAACAGCATCTGGGTATACCAATCCAAAATATTGCTGTTTATGGCCAGAGGTAAAAAGCAGGCATTAAAAATGCAGCAATTGAAAAACGAATTGCCGTCGCAGTGCAATCAAAATCGAATGAAATACGCAAGTGCTCTGCAGGGCTCTTCTGGTCTTTGTTTTCGGTGTCCTTTAGCGATTAATCAGCAGCCATTGCGTATTTTCGTTCTGTTAATGGGCGCGTATCTCAGTCAATGTTGCCGGCATACATGACGTATGCGCAACGTGATGTGCTGCACATGAGCCTGGGCCTGGGCTCCGGCAGGTTTATGACCAGGCTGTAATCCTTGAGAAATCTGGGCATGAGTATTGCTAGTGTGTGTCGTGGAGTGTGTTTGTTTGTGTGTGTGTGTGTGTGTCCCATTGGGACTGTAACTGCCTTTTTGGGTTTGCTGCTGGTGAGTTTTGAGTTGTTTTAGCTTTCGCTTAATTATAACAAACTTTTTGAGTAGTTGCATCGCTGAGATATAACTTTATAAGCTGCACGCTAAACAGGAGCTTGTCTCCCCGTCTCTCTTTCTCCCTCTCTATCTATCCCTCTCTGTCCGACACTTGATATGCACAACTTATAAAGTCAAATGTAAATGCAAAATTATCGCACTTGCCAGGCGCCGTGCTCCAAAAACTTGCGAAAATGTTGCCTACAGCTGCCTTCACGCCCCTAACCCATTGACTATGGTGGGCGTGGCACATTTTGGTGCGTGCGTTTAATTATACGAGATGTTGTTGCATACTAAACAATGGCCCCCACCGCCAACAGTCGGGCTGCGGATTGTGGAGCACCCAGTTTGGCAGTTTTGTGCGACGCATGTGGACCGCAATGAGTGTATAAAAGTGTGAAAAACATGTCGACAGGGGCTGCCATTAAACAAACATTTTACGCAACAAATTAAAGTGTAATTAACAAGTGCACGCTGTGCGCCAACAACAGCAACAACAGCAACACACGCACTCGCCTGACACTGTCCCAGTGCATGCAGCTCCCCTTTTTCTGTTCCCCTTACCCGGCATATTAGCAGCAGAGCTCCTAGTGTAACACACATACATGCCACACCCCATATCCTACACCCCCCCACCCAATTGCGTGCATACACACACGCACACGCACACTTGCAGAGCATGTCCTGCTGAGTTGGTTTCGGTTTGTTGTTTGGTTTTCTCGGCTCGGACTGCGCCAAGTGCTGTTGACGCGTGCGGCGAGTGCAATTTTCACGAAATTGTTTAAATAATTTCGCGCTTAAATGCAATTGCAAGTGTTGTTGCAGCCCCATAGCTGAGGCGTGGCCAGCGCGAAAAAGGGCTGCCCACCCACTGCAGTTAGTCGCTGACGTGTGGCAAAGCCGGCTGCCGGTTGCCACTCGACGCTTTTGTGTGTTGCCAAGAAATTAAAAGTTGCTGCGAGCTGCAAGTCCTTGTGATGGCGAAACTCCTGCTCCCGCTGCACACACTCTAGCTGCTGATGCTGCTGCCTGTTCCTGCCGCTGGCGCATTTGTGTCAAGTGCTCGGTAGTTCGGCGCGTGTGCTAAAAGTTTGTTGGTTTTTGGCATTTGGAGCGCTGTTTGTTTGCCTTAGTACCGCGTGCGACGCATTGTTTGTTAATGAGCGTTCGAATCCTTTTGGCAAGCTCTTGCTCCTCGCCAAACATTGCCCAGGCCAACCTTTTATGCACCCCGCGGCGTGCACGTGCTGCTCCAGCTGCTGCTGCTCTTTGGGGTACTCCTGTGATTAATCGCACTGCGCAACACTTTCGTTGACTAATTATTCATAAACTTGTCTGTCGCGCATATTAAAAAAGTTCAGAGCAGCCGATCAAAATTGTCCCGCTCAGGCGGCATCTCCGACAGTCGTACATTTAATTTTTATATTTACACAACAATTTTTCTTTTAAATGTATATTTATAGAGAACGACAGTACTGGTGCTAATTAAATGTTTAAAAAATGCCAAATTAAAAATCTTGCCATACGAGTAGACAAATATTTGCCCCAGCGTGACAGACTCTGCTTATTATAGCCTGTAATTAGTGAAGTTTAAAGCTGGAAAGCATGGAGGCATCCGATTTGGAGAGTCAATTCTCTATCTATTCTCAAATTAATATACATTTGGGTTTATTATCATTGAATCTGTGAAGGGTCTCTGACAGTCAAGTGCTTGCAAATGAGTATTCTTGACACAATACATATAAGCCTCGATATCCAGGGTATCTAGTAGTCTATATTAATCAGCTTTTACTAGAGCGTCCTCTTAGCAGAAAAAATAAGCAGCACAACAGGCAACAACTTCAATGGGAGCAGCAGGTTGCCATGGGAGCTACGTTCTGGCAGGCTGTCTCTTAAATAGATGGGAAAACGTGGCGGGGCGCAATTAAAGCAGATAAACAAAGGCAACAAATGCAATAACAGTCGCGCTTACAGAACAGAATACAAAAATTTCTAAATTTCTGAAAGCAAAACAACTTAATGCGGACTTAGGACCCAGGTCGCGCCCTAACTGCCAGCAAGAAAAGGTCCTTACTCTCACTACCGCACAGCACGTCGCAGACAATACACAAAACAAAACAACAAAAACAACAAAATCGAAAAACAAACAAAAAATATGCCCATTTTGTTGAGCTGGGCGTGTAACTAATTAAAAATTTCGCAGTCATGCTAGGGGAATTACATTTCGCCGAGCAGGTTGCCAAATCAACGAAGTCAACAACAAGCAAAAGAAAAGCTGCGCGCATGTAGAATACTCTAGTAGTTGGGGTTGCAGGTAGGAAAGCGTGGAGAGAGGGAAAGATACACACATAATGTCAAAAACTTTAAAGGCTAGGCGGATCGTCACGAACAGCCGAAAAGTTTTAGTCATCTGCTGTTTTCACTCACCGTTTTGTTGGCCAAATTGCGAACGCGGCAACTGAGATACGCGGATTTGCCCATGAGGGCGGTGACATTGCGCGGTGTTGAGGGATCAAAATATGGCTCCATCCATTTGGGATGCGTGTAGGCGGCGGTGGGCATCGTTGCCAGCGCTGCTGGCATTGTAGTCAGCTCATCCAACGAGTTATAGCCCTCGATGGGTCCATGCACGCCGCCATTTGTCATATCTGCAACGAATTTGCCAAAGCAAAGTGAAAATCTATAAATATATTTCACATTGGAAATTGTTATAGCCGCAATTTGGTACTTTAAACCTTTTCTTGCTTTTCACTTGTGGCTTTAAATTTTCAGTAAAATTTCACTTTTAAAGAATTTAAAAAATTTCAAACATTTATATTAAATGCCTTCCCAAAGCGTTGCCAATAAGGAGGCTATTTTTATGGCTAATGAAATTTTTATCATATTTTGGTCTTTAAATAGAAACTGGATCAAAAATGTATGGTAAAAAGTTCACGGATTTCTATTAAATCTTATTTTATGTTATTTTCAATGTATTGATATCAAAATTACTCAAAAACTAGATTTTAGGTGTTACATTTTTCTCGTTAACTTCCGCAATTCCTAGTTAAAGCAATATACTCTTCAAGACTTAAAATGATAAAAAAAATGTTCTAGCATTTGTGAATTTACCTTTTACTCCTCGAGAGATGAGCTTTGATCCGAAAATGTCAAATGTGTCTATTTGCAGAGGCATACGTGAGCTGGAGTTTCATTTTGTGTAGGTCCGAGTGTGTTTTTTAGTAGTATTTTGTCGTCGCTCGTCACAAAACATTAAAAACTCGTTGACAAAAGTGGAGAAAACACCAAAATAAAAAACAACTTAACCAACTTTTCAGAGTGCACAATTTTGTTTGCAGCAAGCGACAGAAAAAATAAAAATAAAAACAAGAAATACACATCTGTGAAAATCAGAAAAACGTCAGAACCTGAGCATGGCTACATGCTTTAAGTTTTGACAGCACTCGTCAGCTTGAAGGCTGGCGCTTGACTTTTGTCATCGGCTTAGTGCAGCAAAAAAAACGTTGTTCATTAAGCCCACAGGCCCTGCTGCAGGCGCTGCAGTGGTCGAAAGGTGCACAAGTGGCCACAATGGTAGCCACTGGCAACTCTTTAGTTTCAATTTAGAAATGAACCACCGAACCACCAAAAGAGCACCAGCGAATGCGAGGGCAAATGCATTTGAAAACCGCAAGCAGCTGCAAAAATGAACGCACAGGCAATGCAAGGGGCATAGATATACGCTGCGCTGGGCAGCTGTAGTCGGAGTAGGAGCAGGAGCAGGAGCGAGATATGTTGGACCTCTGGCCTGTTGGGCCAGGCACGGAGGGCAGCCTTCAAGCGAGTGAAGTGTTTGCGGTTGGCAAGTACAAGTGCACACACACACACACATACACGCAGAATAAAACGAAATTGTGTCACTGCTTACATCACGAGGCAGGCTAAATCTACACACACACACACATGCATAAGCCACGCCCACGTGGGCAACCGCAAGTGACTGCGCGTGTGTGTGTGTGTATATATGTGTGGAAGAGTCGAGCTCATGGTTATGCAAAATATTTGCACTCAAATCATATTTCAAGGATTAAAACTTGCATTCATTCAAAAACTGTTTTTCCACATGCACGCCTTCAACACAGATACACACGCGCACACACACACATGCAGATAGGGTCTTACGCACATATACAGAGACACATCTATGGCCGCCCTACAACTTCGGCTTCATTAAACAAAAGGTTGCCAGCATATGACGCGCATTTGTATGCATGAATTGCCGGCAAGTAGGCGGCTTGGGGCGTGGCATACAAACGATAGACGCTTAACCTTAATACGCTTAATACGCTTAATACCAGTGGCAAAGAAAATTGCACAAATTTTCTGTAAATATTGCATTCAGTTTTAATGAAAATGAAGCCCGCAAAAGTATGCTACAGATTCTGTAAAAACTCCAAGCAACGATGCAACAGCTTTAAAGTCAAGCAGAGCTGTTGGGCATTAAGCGCTGGCAAAAAAAAAAAAAAAAATTCAATTGCCTCAGCTGAATGTGCTTCATTTCAGGCCCATGTGTGCCAGTGAGTGTGTGCTGGCATTGAATGTGTGTGTTTGTATGGGAAGGGGTGATTGAGTGTTTGCTTAATCATTACGTAGGCCTGGCACGCCTTCTGACTGAGTGGCAGACAAAAAGGCAGGCAGCCAGTCGGCCCTTTCATACAATGACTTTGCATACTTGCGTTTAATTTGCGAGGACAACGCGGCGGGTGGGTGGAGCGAGGTGGCGCGTAGCAATTAAGAAAACTTTTGTAATTTCCCTGCTTTCATGTGGGGCATATTTTCTATGCTCTGCAAGGCAAGCTAAATAGTTGTGCTTTGGGCAAGCAAAAAAGCTTTATATGTAAATATTTTTTTTTTTTTTTGGGAATTTTAAAGTATTTTAGAAAAAGCTTCTTAGCCTAGAAAAAAAGTCATACCCTTTGTTATTTGAAGATACCTTATATTGGCAGAGTATTCTGAAGTCAGTCAGTTAGTTTTGTTGGCACAAGTTACTTGGTTAATTTTGGGAATTTGATCCTGTTCCTGTGAAATGATGCGTAATGTGCAACACTTTGAACCCACAGCTCAATGAATTTCGAGCCTGGTAATTGCCTGCTTATGGAGGTCTCAAGTTCAAGACGCATTTAATTGTGTTTTATGGCATTGAATTTGTAGTCAATATCAGCACACTTCATTGGCTTTTGCTATCTTGCGTCTGTGTGTGTGTGTGTGTGAGTAATTAAAAATCAACATGCGGCGCCAGAAATTGACCTGCCTTGTGGGCAATGTGTGCCTGGCCCTGCCATTAATTTGCTCCCACAACGCAGCATGACGAGTGCTATTCTGATTGGACTTGGCTTGGCTGGTTGGAGAGAAGCAGAGAGAAGCCTCGTGTGCATGCCAGCATGAATAATGATGCCTTTTGACATTGTCTAAGTAGTTTTATGCGTGGCAACATGAGTTGGCTGAAAATCCAGCGCACAGCCAAATACTCGCAAGTTGCCGATGAGCTGTCATCGGAGCTAAACTGGACGACACGCTGATTGCCACTCGAGTATGCATGCGGCACGCCATCGGCACCTTGGCGACGGCGACGACGGTGGCGTCGGTGGCTGTGGCGGCATCGACGGCAGCTGCTGTTACTGCTGGCAACCACTTAACCACTCAACCACTCAGTTACTCATTTATTTATGTGCTGCGCAATGCATTGCGCGGCTTTTGTTGCCAACATTCTACGTTCTTATTCAGCGCCCGGTGCTGCTTCTCGCCGGTTGCGGCTGCCGTCTTAATTAAGCTTAAATGATGCTGCAAAATTTATTTCATTTCGCACTCGAGGCTCGCGACTTAACCTGAACCTGATGTGGGAGCATCTTCTATACGAACGGCATGCATATAAATTATCCAGGCAAATTACATGGCACATGGCGAAAATTGAAATGTGGCTACTGTGACACGTGTGTGTGAAGGTGTGTATATGTGTGTGCGGGTGTTTGAGAGGAATGGCCTGCAGGGAAGACAGAGCACAGCTGTCATATTTGTTTTATTTACATGTCAGCGTTGATTATTTTTAATGCTCTTCATTAAAATGCTTCAATCGGAAAATGCATCAATTGCTCGCATGATTAATCCATGAAATAACTCGATTTCAATTCTATTGTTCAAAGGCAAAGTTTTTAAATTTGTTTTTACAGCTTGCGGATATTTACAAATTTAACAATGAATAAGGCGTCGTCCATTCATATTGTTAAGCAGATAGCATCATTGATATGTCATTTACGTAAAGCTGAGATCCTGGCACGCCTTCTTTACCCAAAGTATTAACAGATAATTCATGTTTTATTATTTAAACACCTGTTCAAACTATAAAATTTAGTAGAATACTTTAAGTTTTAAAAAAATATAAGGAATTTTGCTTGTTTCTTGGTATTTCAAACCCTTTGAGTGAAAAACTCAGAGGTATTCAGCAGTTTTTTGCCTTTGTCTTTAGTCCTTAGACTTTGTGTAACTTGTTATCCTTAACGTTGATTGACAACATTTTTGCGCAATGCTTTTGTTGGTGCTGTTGCCTGTCTTGCTCTTGTTGCTGTTGTTCTTGCTGTTGTTGGCTTAGTTTGTTTGTCTTTGCATAGCCACTTCGGCTGACAAAACATGCGATACGATGCGACACGGCACGATAAGAAGCACAGGCAAGAAATACACTGGCACACACACTCACACTAACATACATAACTCTTATTATGAAATATTCGTAAAATTTCATACAAAGTACAAGCAAGTGCCATGTGTGTGTGAACGTGCGTAAGTGTTGTGCGAGGCTGTTAAAGCTAAAAATATAAAATGAAGTTTACTCCAAACAAGAAGTTGCCTGATTCTGACTGGTTAGCTGGTTGGCTGGCTGGTTGGTTGGCACACTGCCTGAATCTGGCAGGGCTTATCACCTCTGGCCTTAGAGCTGAAGCTTATAATGAAGCATTGTTTGTTGCACAAAGTTTGGCTCAGAATGAAAACAGCAAGAAACCAGGCAAGAGCCAACAACAAGTCAAGTTTCGAAGAAAACCCAGTCTCTGAGCATGTGTGTGTGACACATTGTAGGCATGTGCGGGGTATCTGGCTGCTTGACAAGATATTAAAATAATATTTACAAGGACTAAAGTGGTGCGTATAATGCATGAGATGCCGTGCAGCCAAACACGACCATGTCTTAGCAGACAGTCTCAAGCTTACAGGATAATAAGCAGCATCTGCATTTGAATTTGCCAATGTGATGACCCGATTAGAGCTGTCCTTTGCCCTTTTGTTATTGTTTGGCATTTTCGACAAGGTCCTCTTGTTTTTATTAATGATCATCATAGATTTTCCAATCACAAACTGTAATCCCTTGGCCCCCTAATGGCAACTAGAGTCGTTATACGCTCAGCCCTGCTGCCATTTTCCGGCTCACATTCTCCACTCTCAACTTTTTCCTTGGCTGCCTTACTTTCTTTCTTCTTTTTTATTTTGGGTGTGCCAATGTGTTCGGCAGCCAGAAATCAATTCAATTGCTTGGAAAAGGGTCAAAAACGCCGCTTCAGAATGTCACTTGGCAATGGATTTTTTGTCAATGTTGTCGAATTTTAATTGCGTGCGTTAATGT